ATGGCAGGTGGGTGGTGGTTGAAGCAGAGGAAGCTGCAGCACAGGCAAAAATCCCAACCTTGGACAATGTGGGCCACAGCAAACTTACACAGACACTGCTTCTCCAAGGACATTTGCCTAAGAACTCCCGGTCCAAGCCTGGACTGGTGCCACGCTGCTCACTAATGTTGTACCCAAGGTTATTGTTTCAGAACAGCTCATGCAGTCCTTCTCATTTTGCCTTTTAAACTTCCTATTTTACACCCTCCAAAAGCACCTATATATATATATACCTATTCCCATTGTAATGCTACTCCCAAATAAACTCCTCTTGGGGGGGAATGTCTCTGGGTTTGTCATTTAGGCTGCCATAAATAATGAATGTCTGCCAGTGAGCAGGGCAAGGGCCATGAGTAGCCCTGGGAGCCTGCTGCCTTGGAACAGGGATATAGAAAAAGGAAATTCACTAAAACCACAAGCAATGCAGTGTAATAAACAAGGGAGGAAACCGAGGGGGTGCTGGCATCAGGAGTCAGGAGAGGAGAAGTTTAAAACCTAGGAGAGATTTAAGATAGCGAATGTGGCAGAAGGTCAAGTTAGGCGCTGAAATGCGCACGTGAACTTGAGCACCATGGGTAGCAAGCAGTCTCTGGAGGGCTGAGTGTGGAACAGAAGAGAGAGAAGTGGAGGAAGCTTCAGATGGTTTTGAAAGTGAAAGGGAGGATGAGAGGCCATGCGGGATAACTCCTTCAAGAATCCAAGCTGAACCTAGTTTTACAGAAAAAGACAAAATACTCCACAAGGTAGGTTTACTGGAAGAAGCAGATGCTTAATTTTATTAAAAGCCATGAGATGAAGTTACGGATTTTTTTTTCTTTTGTCGTTCATCATGTCCGAACAGTTAGATAAACATTTCTGTTAATTACTGAGACAAAACTTCAGAACTTGTGGCAGTAACTGCTTTTGCTGTGGTTATTGATGCGAGTAGCGAGGAAGTTTATTTTGCTACTATGATTCTAAAGTGTAAAGCCTCAGCCAATGAAAATAAAATCCAGATTAAATGCCAGTGGTTAGCCTAGTGGTTGGGACACCAGTTATATGATACCTGCATTCCTCATGGGAGTACCTAGGTTTGATGCCTGTCCCTGGCTCTTGAGCCCAGCCTTTTGCTAATGTATGTCCTGGGAGGCAATGGTGTTGGTTCAAGTGATTGAGTTCCTGCTACTCAGAGGGGAGAGCTGGATTGAGTGCCCAGCTTCAGTCTGGCTCAGCCTGGGCTGTTGTGCATATTTGGATGGTGAACCAATGGATGGGGAGTGTTCTCTCCCTCTCTCTCTCTTCAACACAAATAAACAAACCCAGAACTAGAAGGAGAAAAAAAAGTAGCTAAAAGAAAAACTGCATTGATATACTTGATACTCTGCGAACAACACTGTTCTGTTTAACTGTGTCATGAAGCACAGTGAAATAATGGTCTGCATTCTGAAAACTGGAAATGTTGCAGGAAATTGGCCAAATCCCAAAGGACAGATGCTATTTCTTCTGCTTATGCTGAAAGCCAGACTTAAAATTACCTTTTGTTATCATTTTTTGGTTTATCAAATCATTGCGAGCATTTAGATCTAGGCACCTTATGGCTCTTAGGACTCTAGGAGAGAATGTTAAGGTCAGGTTTGCGGCCTGGGGCTGGAATTGTGACACTGTCAAGGTAGATTACCAGGTGTTGCATAATGATTGTGACATCCAGTCTTTAAGGAGTAAGGACATTTGCATCCAAGTATAAACATTTATACAGTATTTAATTGTTTCCCTGGGGGGGGGGTAATGGTGAAGACAGTACTGGGATCCCTAATTAAGGCATCTTATCTGACAACCTCTGAGCGTAAAGATCATATTCGGTGATAAAGGACCTATATAATTCCTAAAAAATAAGTCTTTCCCCAAATCTGAGAGCCACTGGAAAGTGCCCAGTTAAGAAAACACAAATCTATGAAGACAAGGGGATTGGCCAATGAGGTTTCCTTGGGCTGATTCACAGCAGGGAGGCGCAGCCTCAAGGTAACCGCGCATGCCTGGCATTCTGGAAAAGCCCCCGACTATATTCACTCACTCAAAGCTGTTCACTGGGGGCCAGCGCCATGGCTCACTTGGTTAATCCTCCACCTGAGGCGCTGGCAACCCATATGGGTGCTGGGTTCTAGTCCCGGTTGCTCTTCTTCCAGTCTGGCTCTCTGCTGTGGCCCGGGAGTGCAGTGGAGGATGGCCCAAGTGCTTGGGCCCCACACCTGCATGGAAGACCAGGAGGAAGCACCTGGCTCCTGGCTTCAGCTCGGCGCAGTGCTGGCCGTTGCAGCCATTTGGGGGGTGAACCAGCGGAAGGAAGACCTTTCTCTCTGTCTCTCTCTCACTGTCTATAACTCTGCCTGTCAAATAAAAAAAAAAAAAACTGTTCATTGTTTTTGATTCACTAGCATTTTTGAAAACTCGCCTAGTGGGTTAGAAATAAAAGCATTTGCCTTGAACAAACATGTATATTGTACTGTAGAAGAGAAACACCCTTGGATGGTTTTGCTGAGTTTACATATTCACTTAGGCAAAGGGTCTCTCACCTGGGAAAACTTCCTTTATTCTTAAATATTTGTCTTCAATTTTTGAAATGTGCAGAAACAATATTTCTACTGTCCGTCAAGGACTGGAACATTGAGTTTTAATTATTCAAATGCAGGGTGAAGTGCGTGTGTGTTTGGAGGGGGGCAGAGCAAGTGGATGTGTACCAAGAGCTCTCCAGATCTGTTCTGTTCCTCCCTGCGAGTCAGGGTGAGCCCTCTGGGCCTCTGATGGTCACTGTACTCGTGGAGGAGACCAAGTGACTTCCCAGCCGCACTTCTGCCAGTTAAGATGCTGTGTCTTTTAGAAGCTGACATTTTTGAAGTTGGAAGTGAGAGCCAAGTTGCAAACACAAAGGGAAAAAAAGCATTCTATGCAGTGAGAAAAAATTAACACAGGAATTTTTCAGAAAGAACTTTGTGAATTCTCCTAAATTCTTTGAAGCGGGTCTCGAATGACTGAATTCATTGTCCAGACTCAAAAGCAAGGAGTTGGAATCTCCCACTCTTTGCTGCAGGATCACAGGCCCAATTTTCCAAAATAATCGGGATGGCCAGCTCCCAGAGCCAGAAAGAGGCAAAGATTTGCCATAGCTTCTTTTTCATTCGCTAAAACGTTAGCTGTTTCTAAGTTCTCCTGGTGAGTGCCACTGGTTAAAGCTGGCGCTGGCCAGCGTGGCCAGATGCCAGACGCTGGGGAGACACAAGCTTCCTCTGTGTGCTGGTTGCTGTGGCTCTCCCTCCTCTTCCCCCTTGTGGACAGAGTTCCATTTTGTTGAGGGTCTCACTCTTTGGGCCAGGAGGTCAGGGTCAGGGTTTAAGCTGATCTACCCTGCAAGGCAGATGGCGGGAGGCGGCTGTGGAGAGTGGCCATCGGTCCCTAGGGGTCAATCATGGTAATGTGGCGTCCTGGTCCCTGCTGTATTTGTAGGACAACCTGCCTTCTAAAGGACAGCCGGCCCCTGCTACCAGCAGAGATCTGCTCTTTTAGTCTTGACCATGTCCTCATGGGGACAGCCATCAGAGGCCAGCGGGAGCCAGCTGACTTCACACAACCCTCACCTGGGTCCTTCCCTGTAGCTCTTCTGGTCCTGACCTGTCTTTGGGATGAGCCTGAGGCACAGACCACTTTGGGGAAATCCCTTCTCAGTCTCTGGCTGGAAAACCCCAACCCAAGGCCATCCCAAACCTGGGTAGAGCAGACCTGCGCACCTGCAGTTCAGGCCCGGAGGCAGCAGAGGCGGGGGAGGCTGCTGGGGACTTCTCTCTTTTCCCTTCCTAGCTGTCAGTCTAGAAAGCCACACAGCAAGTGTGCAGAGGAAATAGACTTGCGCGCCCTTCTTATCTATCTCACCGCTGACAAAGCTGAGGACTTGCCAGGAACCTTTACTCATTTCTTTTTTTAAACGTTCATAAAATTGCTCACCTGTATCTGAACCTCTTTGTAGTTTGTTTCAGTGGCCTGAACAGAAATGCACTGTTACGGGTAACGGAAATGTTTCTCCTTGTGAATGCGTGCGCGAGCCCACCCCCACCCCCGTGGGTTTCCAAGTCCCCTCCCCACCTCTCCGCCCCACGCCTCCATAATCAGCTCATTCATTCCTAACTCCCCTTGGCGGCCTGACGTTTAGAGTGGAGTCAGCCAAGGCAGGTGCCTTCCCCGGGGGAGAAAAAGAGGCTGTTTGGAAATGGTGTGGACGGAGAGGAAAGCTGGCTGGCAGCGAATGCAGGGCCAGCCCCGCGCCGCCGACCCCTTCCCGGAAATGTTTACTGTCCCGATGGCCCCAGCCCCGCAGCCCCAGCGCCGCGCGCGACCCCCAGGCCCCAAGCCCTTTGGAGGCAGAGATACCTCACAATGCGTGCGCCTACCCAGTGGCTCGGTGAGCCAAGAAAAATGGGCTGCGACGATTTCCCGAGCGCGCGGATTGCCCGATCGCACCCGCGACGCCTCGTCGATTTTTCTCACCGTACAGAGCGGAAGAGGCTCCCACCCGCCGTGAATGGGAATCTGCATTTGGAGCCGGGGGCGGGGCGGGGCGGGGCGGGGCGGGGCGGGGCGGGGGCGCGAGGACCCTGCACCCTGCTGCGCCAGCCGCTCCCGCGCCCCCTGCCCGGCTGCCGCCAGCCCGGGCCAGCGCTCCGGAACCGCGGGTGAAGCGCAATCTCCCGTCTCCAAGAAGCAAGGCCCGGGACCCCGGGACACCCGAACCTGGCCAGTCCCTTCTGGGTCTACACGCAGTCCCCGCCCGTGTCTGCGCGTCTCCGCGGGCGACTCCCGCGCCGGCGGCGCTCCACCAGGAAGCCGCTGGATCCCTCCTCCCGGGACTGGACGGCGAGGGGGGCCCCGGCTGTGTCTTTAAGCCCGCGCTCGCCGCCCCGCCCTCCTCCCCGCCCCCGCGGTCCCGCCCGCCCTCCCCGCCGAGCCCGGCTGCCGGGCGTGCGCGGCTCGCGGAGCAGGTGCCGGCGAGCCTCGCTCATGCGGCTGCCCGGCCCGAGGTGGTAGCGGCGCCCGCGCGCTCCGCCCGCCGCTTCTGGGCCGCACTCGGCTCCGGCGCGGGACCATGTCTCTGGTGACTGGTGGCAGCGAGGCGGCCGGCGGCGGAGCCGGCAGCGGCGGCGGCGGCGGCGGCGCGCGGGTTTTCTTCCAGAGCCCCCGGGGCGGCGCCGGCAGCAGCCCCTGCTCCGGCAACAGCTCAGGCTCCTCCCGGGAGGACTCGGCGCCCGAGGTCGCGGCGGCCGCTGCCGGGCAGGTTCAGGAGCCGCAGCCCCAGCAGCAGCAGCGGCGCCACCAGCAGGGAAAAGTGACGGTGAAATATGACCGCAAGGAGCTTCGCAGGCGGCTGGTGCTGGAGGAGTGGATCGTGGAGCAGCTGGGTCAGCTGTACGGCTGCGAGGTAGCAGGGCGCGGGGCCGGGGTGGGTCGGGACCCTGTAGGCATCTGTGCCCACACGGGATCTCCGGGGCTCCAGCGCGCGCCTGCGCTCGGTCCAGACTCCCGGGGACTGAGCGCCCGGAGCACGCCCTGGCGCCGAGGTGCAGCGGCTCTCCCGTTGCCCGGTGCCCCCGTGATGGCCCTGGGGGTGGATTGGGTCCCGCGAAGCGCTGTGGTTTTCTCTGAGCGCCGGGCGCGTCTCGGCTGCAGGGCAGCTGCACGAAGTGGAGCCTCCGAGGGGCTCACTCCAGCTGCGCCCCAGCCGCGGACGGGGAGATCGGCGCTTCCTGCTGGGATCCGATTTGAGGGGAGAAGGAGCAGGGCAGGGGCTTGAGCGTGCTGGGCAGAGAGGAGAGATTCTGGGAATCTCAGAGAACCTCTCGGTTCCTGAAATTTACAGCAAAATCGTGAGACGATCAGTTTCCCTTTGCCAGCCAGCCCGGACGCCTGGCCCCCAACGTTAGTCCTTGCATTTCCAAGGCTGTATGTGTTAGGCTTGGCCAAATCAGTTTTTCTTTCTCCCCATAGATGGGCGCAGAATGCTCCGTGGGCCCCCTCCGAGCGTGCCCAGGTGGGAGTCAGGCAGCCCCGCGGGTGGTGTGCGGCGTGCGCCCTGCTCCGGGCTCCGGCGGAGTCTCCCACGGCTCAGGGGCCAAGGTTCTACGCAGGGCTGACTGACGTGTACACGTTTGATGTAGGGAGAAATACGTAGAATAAGCTGCCACACACATGCTGGAAAGATGACCCAAGCCCAAACGGTCTCCCGTGAGAGTCTTTAATAACGACAGTTGTAAATGAAATAACACATTCCACTCTCTTGAGGGGTGGAGTTTGGAAGGGCTGGAGGCAGGAAGGGGTTCCTGATGAAGGATGTGGCTTCAGGAGAAAGCTAGGTCTGTGTTCCCAGAGCTGTTGGGCTCTTCGGCGAGAATGGAAGCCACACTGGTCACTGGCTTTACCGCTGGCTTTGGGCATTGTGTATTTCACACGTTTTATGGCCTATTGTGCACGCATAGTTTCTTTAATAATTCTCATTGCTCAAGGAGACAGTATTCCCATCGCTGACTATTGATGAATGATTATGATATAATGAAACTTGACTGTATGACTAATGAGCTTGTGAAAATATGTTTCTCCAGCCAGCTCTCACAAAAAGCCAATTTAATTGCATAAGTAAAAACTGGCAAAAATAGGACGTGTTCCTGGGATTTTTATAGGAAGTTGGCAGACCTCTTTAAAAACACAGTATATTTGATTTAGACGGGATTACTGTTGGGTGAATGGATGTGTTCTGTCTTGCCTCTCTTGAATCCAAATGATTTTCATTTATTTCATTCTAGCCTTTCTACTCCATTTTGGGCTTGGAGAAGATTTGAGTTAATAGAAAAACTATTGTTGAAATTAATAACACTTTAGCCTTGCTCATCCTTAAAGGAGACTAATTAGATGTAGCTGGGCAAACTAGAAATAAGTCTAAGCCAACTTAGTAGGATGACCAATCATATATTCTCAGAATTCCTCAGAATAATTGGGGGGAAAAAATGGAGGTTTGAATGTTCACTGTGATGCACATGTCGATTAGGGACACACTTTAAAGGGTAAATATGACCTTGAATCTTTCCCATGTACTTGTCTACCAGAGCTGTAGACCTTCTACCCACAGTGAAAACTGTCAGGTGTCTGAGAGACAGGGTTTGTGTTGAAATCATACAAAGTGCTCTATGCTGCCTGCATGCCATTAATGCGTGGTGAGTATTCTCGGGTTGTTTTTTTCAGGCAGTTGTGGGCCGATGGAATAGAAATCACTGGGCAGGGAGCTGGTGGTTTGTAATCTCTGTGCTAGTGATTACCTTCATTGTATAATAAACCTGTGTACTATAGGTACCCGAGGAAAGGCCGTGTCTTCCCTTCTCTTCCCCTGCTGATAGGGCTCTGTGGTTCACTTCAGCCCTCTTGCCTGCTGGTCTTCCCTTACTGATACTTGCAAGTGTTTCAGCCCCTGCCTGGTTCATCAGTCAACAAGGACCCACTCTGACTCCGAGCCTCAGGCATATGACGATTGGGAAATGTCCTTTTTGCATTTAAAGTTGGTAATGTTTTCCAATGTTTACTGCTTGAACTTGGCATAGAAAGCCAGTTCGACAGACTTCAAACTGGTCCCAACCCTGAGTTTCCTGCTTTGGTGGGGCAGAAGGGGTGCACTTATTTAATTTCAGAAGAGCCTGTCCCAGGCAAGGGAGAGGTGCAAGGACTTGATCTTTGCCAAATGGAAAATAATTATCTTTTGCAGTGGCATAAAGTAAGATGATTGTACTAAGAAAGAAATGGGAAAGAATAAGTGCACAGACTTACCTGGCTGAGGTCTTATCTAGAAGCTTGCAGTGGACATTTTGTTTATAGTGTGGCATAATAGAGCACGTTTGGGGGGTATTTGTGGCACTCTGTGTGACTCTGACCCTTTGCAATGGTCCTCCTGTTATTCTTGTATCATAAATGAGAGTGTGGACACTCAGCGAGTAGCTGGCAATGGGACTCTGAATCCAGGCAGTGTGACCATACCTTCCCCCTCTGACCACTGGGCTGCCTGTAGCTTTTCAGTGTCCTTTATAGAACTCATGGAGGCCCACACAGCGTCTGTCTCAATACTTGGAACTTATGGGTGAAGCCAACAGGAATCTGAAATTTGTTTTGTCCACACATCCTTGCAACCACGTCTTCCTAGTGACCTGGAAGACTAGGTTTGAATTTTGAGTTTGTGGACGTCCCTGACCTCTGAGTTAAAATGCAATTGGGAGAATCTTCCTTTGGCCCAGCTGTCTTCTCTTTGGGCTCCCTCCCTCTGGGACGTTCCCACCTAGTGAAGGGCGCTGTGTCCGTGGGCAGTGCCGGTCTTTGTGCACAACTTCTGCCACCCCTCATCCCTGCCCCTGGCTCACAGCAGACCAGGGAGATGCTTGTTCATGCCTTAGCTGCTTGATATTTGATGAGGGGATTCTGGGAGTGTAGCCTAAAGCCAGGTGGAGAAACACAAGTTCCTAACAGGAGGGCCCACTTGGTCCCAGGAAGTCTCAGGAGGATGGAGCATGTATGGAAGTGTTGCAGAATGGCTGGGTCCAGGTTCTTGTCTCTGGTGCAAGAACTGGAGGACAAGACAAAGGTAAGAACCTGATTTATTCTTAGCTAAGTGAGAGCACACACTGGAGAAGGGCGTGTGGGCATGCTCAAGAGTGATCTGCATCCAACAAAATTTGGCATCTCTTCAAAATGAGCTGGAGGCGTGTATGGATAGTGTGCGGGGAGAGGTTTAACTGAACAGTCATGGGGTGGTGCAAGGTCTGAGGACTGCTCATCTCCTTGCTCTTTTTCAGCAGTCTCAGAAGTGTCATGGCTTCAGGTGCATCATGGGAATAGGAGTGTCAGCCCTGGTAATCTTACTATAATGATATTTCAGTTAGCTCTAAGTAGTCACTGGGGAAGGGGAGGCACTTAGCACCATGTTGGTTGCTTTCTGCTGGCACTAATTCTGGGTGGAGGCTTTGTAGGAAGTGTGGTTTTGCACAGTACAAAAAGGTGATGGTGGGGGAGTAGGGTGGACAGGCAGGGTTGTAGGAAGGTGGGAGACTGCAGCTCTTCCTTGCTAGCTACCTCCTTGTCTATATCAGCTATGGCTCCTCTTACCCAGTGGTCTAAGAGGTGTTGATAGACACCATATTGTAAAGCCATTTGTAAATGTTTCTGTTAGATTCTAAAATGATTAGATATATGCTTACATTCTTCTCCATTTCATCTTCTGGGAAAGCTTATACAGGTAATTAAATCTTCACCTAGGAATTGGTTATAATGGAACTGTTATGTTAAATCTACACCCACATTAAAGGATTTCTGTTTTAAAACATTTTCCTGTCTCCTCCAAACCCTGATGACTTTGAAGAGCATTTGAAATCTGGTATTGTGTCTACTCTGACAAGTGTTGCACGATGACTTACCGGATAAATCATATTAATTTTTCCAATCTTGCCCAATGTCAAGATAACATCTGTACTTCCAGTTTTGTAATTTGGTTTGCTTTGGAAATGAACATGTTGCTAAGCTCATATTGTCAAAATGCTGGTAGCAGCCCAGCCTTCAACCACCTTGTATGCAAGAGGAATTGCTGTGTGCTCCCGATTGATTGTCCACCGAGGAAGGTTTCCCATTTGCTCCAGGTATCTGCTTTTTAACAGATGGCTTCCAGCTTCTTCAACCTTTCCATCTTCCTTAGCTCCCCATCATCTCCATTCTATAAAGCAGTGTTTGTCAAGAGTTTTTGATGGTGACGCTGAAACAGAGCCCCTATAGATGGCTGCCTGTGCATCCACAGAAATGTGGATACTCTATAGGAAGAGAGATGCAGGAATTACCACTTAATGTCACCATGAGAAAAGCTGTACTAGTCATCTAAAGTATGACTTCAATGAGGCTTACAACAACATTCTATTCTATTTCCTTTCTCTCAAATACTGGTTGTGACCCTCTAAATCGATTTCATAACACACTTATGAGCTGTGACCTGTAGTTTTAAAAATGCTCCTTCTAAAAGGGAAAAGCCCAAGCGGGTGTGACAGAATTAGCTGTTACTGATTAAGCACTTTGTAGGAAGGGACTTCAGAAAGGTTGTAGAAAATGGAATTAAAAGATAAATGTGTTTTGGTTCAAAAAAAATGAAATCTATGTATAACTTTTTAATACTATATACATTTTTTTGTGAACCTTTTTAAAATCCCTTGTTTGTATTAGCCAAGGTTCATGAAGTCTGAGTAATAGTCCCTGATATGCCCATTTTATGGATGTGGAAACTGAGGCACAGAGCACATGAGAAGTTTCTCAAGGCCTGCAGCAGGGATGTGGTGGAGCAGAGTCAGGTGCAGGTGCTGAGCCTGCCATCTCCCATAATTTGTCTTTTCCAGATGCTACTACTATTGT